AATTATCAAAGCTTTAACGTGATCATTTTTATTAAATCGAAAATACAAAAATATTAAAATAATTTATAATAATAATTAGTAATTTCACCTTTAAACATTTTAGATATCAAAGGTAATGGAGACACAATTTTCAGATGTGCGGWAAAAAAAAAAATCCTGCAGGACGCAATTAGTAGTATACCTTTTTATACAGGACGCAATTCGTAAACAGCGCTACCTCCAAGGTTAAATTATTGTATTCAGTATAATTAATATTTAGAATTATATAATTGTAGTATAAAACAATAAATTTATTAGCCAATCACCACCTCAACGCAGATTTAATTAACTTCCTCAAGCAAACCAATATTTATAACCAAATCTAAACATGTAACCAAACGTAATGTAAAAAATAAAATAACTAATGGCCTTTGTTGCTGAAGTTGTAAATGATCAAAAAAAAAATAAATAAATAAATAAATTTATTGTAACAATATATTATTTAAGAAGTAAAATATAACTTCAGTGATATATTAATTTGATTACGTATAGTACGTATAAGTAGGGCTATAGATATTTTGTATAAAATCAATTTATATTATTGTTGTGAGTCATACCTTTTGTATTACGAAATTTKAATTAGCAAGTTGTTGAAATGTTAAGCTTAAATATTATTTTGATCTTCAAATACAAGAATTTTATAATAATATTTTAAAATATTAAATTAACAAATCATTTTTAGATTTAAATAAGACTTATAATATGTACCTATCATCCATATTCGCATGACCGTATAAAGTGATTTTATACTCATAGTTTTAAGCACATCGACCATTATGAATATTAATTAGTTAAGACGGAGCTAAAATAATTTTATAAGACCMAAATTATTMATTTTGTTTTCCCCAATAATGTGTTTGCAATAAATCCCTCTCTCTCGAATCTTCTCGATTCCTACTTAAGTCGTATAAGATCTATCAATAATATTATATTACTATCTTATCAAGTTAAAAACTTTCGTTTACAATAATGACCAATGTTATAAGTTATAACAATATTACTTATTAATAATAATATTTAGACATATTTTTCAATTAACCAACGACCGAATAAAACAAAATCTATTAATAAATAAATACCTATTCATTTTTTTTTCAAGAGACAAGGAATAACAAAAAGTCGCGTAACCTTTCAGAAAAATTCACAAAAACAATAACAAAATTTATTATAAATCTATAGTGATACCTAGGAACAAAATTAATAGATAATTAAARWAGATGAAACATTTTTTTAATGTTAAATATTACAATAAAAGTTATTTGTCAATTATCATTTGCAATATGTATAATGTTCATGTTATAATAACTCATAAAATATAAAAC